AAGTATAACCCAGTAGGCACATATGTCCACGAGACGTCTATACGACCTCACAAGTCTGTAAAAATTTCTTAAGACGTCCAGTGGACATTCTGTGCCCGCTGGGAACTTATATGTATTAGTTCAGTTTCTAATTTTGTTGCTCGTTTTTGAAATTTTTCCTGGTCAGGTCATTGATAACTTTGTGGTCTAATCAGAAATCTGTATAACTGCTTTCAGTGTTAAGATAAGAAAAGCAATTTCTGATTAAGCATTAGGCTCTTTGTGCTTTACAAGTAACAAATTGAACCTGAAGGTTCTATTTTATATTGGGTAAAACTATTACATCTTAGTCTCGCGCTTTTGGTGTTGTTTTTAGTAGGAACTTTTTTATTGTCATGTTTCATAGAGTACTTGAAATTATTTATTTTTTTCCGATAAAAATCTCTTAACCATTAAAGGTAAAAAAGTTTACCCAAAATAGTCACATGTGATATAATTTGCTACCTTAGGGGTATCATGTTTTAGCGTAAATTTATAATTTTCTACCTTAAATTGTGGAACCTTAAAGGTAGGATATATGATAAACCTTTAAGGTTATTTCTTCCTTTTTTTTACAATGTAAAGAGTTTAAAAAATTAGCTAATCATTTCTAAAATAAATAGAAACGGAAAATTAGTCACTGATGAGAATTTTCATTTAAACAATGAAATAAAAGATATGCTAAACATAAAAGATTTTTTATACTAAAAAAAGGTTGTTGTATATTTGCAAAATAATAAAGATTTTTCTTTTTTGATTATCTTTCATAAAAATCTATTTATAATAGATTAACTGATGCTGTTTGCTTTGTTGTTGTCAAGTAAAATAATATTTTTATACTATATATAATATAAATATATTTTGAGTTTTAAAATATATTATTATAATATTAAAACTTCAAAATTAATTTGAGATAAGGTTAAACGTTGCTTAGTTATTAGGGCTATTTTCAGGGTCGGACTGGCACTGAGGAGCCTGGGGAGAGGAAGGTGGGACCCTTATTGCAGCAAAAAATTTAGCAAAAATAAATGAAACCCTTAATCAAATAGTTATTTTGTTACAATGGTATAGGAAATTTCTAATAATGTGTATGCAAATATCCATATATTTGACCATGTACTCCGTCCATCAATATATTTGACACGTTTAAAAAAATAAATCCTTATGCAAGCTTTGAAAAATCTAGTAATTCTATACTGCAGCGTCAAACCACTTTAATTTCTGCACATTATTGTCATGCTAAAATGGATTTATGGTTATGGTAATCAAAGACGATTTGTATTTTATTGTTTAAAGAACAAAGCCATTATCACAAAAATAAGAATCAAAGATCTTAATTTTAGTTTTATTTTTATTGTAATATAATTTTTTTTTAAATAAACATATTAAAAATTTCCAAATAAATTTTTTTCCTTAAAAAATTAGAAATTTTTTACATTAATCCATTTTATTGTATTTAAAGCTGAACTCCAATTCGCGAGATTAGTTTTTTTTTTGTTTTATTCCCACATTTTCGACTTTTGAGATAAAGCGATTTTAAAATTAAAACTTAAGGAGACTGCGTATTTTTATTACTTATGTTTTCTCCGCTACTTTTTAAAATGATTAACTTAACTTTCAATGTAGTAGAAAAACATTATTTTGAGGTACATGGCACAATCAATAACTCGATTTTTTTAAAAAGTGGAGATAAACACTATTGAATCACTATGAAATAATATTTTGAATAATAAAATGTCCAGCTCCATTAAATATTTCTGAACCTCTCTGATTGGGAAGTACTGGCTTATTAAAAGCGAATCCTTAATATATCCACATGACTCGATAAAAGCACGAAATTTAATGTTTTTCGTAATAAGTTAATTATTTAGTCTCGTAATCAAGATAACCACTAATAACTAATAATGGCTGCTTTACGATGTCTATATATATTTTATTCAACATTTCATATTTTAATCGTAGAAATAACTCTCATGTTTACTGTATTGTCTTTGCAAAGTTGATGCATATAAACAATAAACAGTTATTATTAATTTTTAGTTTGGTGTATTTTAGTTGTGAATCTTGATTTATAGTGAGGCCCAGAACCTTATGACATGGCATGGGCCTCTTCCCCTAACTTTCCTGATTAGTTCATTGTAATATCTAATTAGATTATTGCACTTGTGAAAATATCATATGAAGCAACACTACATTTCAAAGTTTAAATAGTTGAAATAAGATTATGTAAAACCTTTACATTCTCTTTGAAATGACGGCATTATTTACATTTTATATATCTAAATGCATTTATTAATGTTCTACTTACTATAAATAATATCGTCTTTATTTTGTCATATTGTTTTAAATAATTCAAATTACCTCTCCCCTAGCGCCCGCGTCAAAAGGGAGAAAATTTAAATATATGTAATTATATAACGTCAAAAAATAAAATATCTGCAGCATTATTTTTCGATTTTGGCAGGCGCAAAAAAAAAAAGAAAAAAGTATTAAAAAAAAAAAGTATTCTGTTGATTATCCCTTAAATTGTTGATTGTCTTTTAAATTGTTGATTGTTATAAAATTTGATTAAAATCAAACTTAAGACATGTTATTAGCACAATAATTAGATACTTTACTCAGTCATATCAAAATTATTTGATAACTAAGACGCAGAGTATACGTCCATCGACTTATGTAGGGATAGGCGCCGTGGAGTACACATAGATCAAATGAGAGATTTGGGTTTGAAAAGTTTTTTTAATTTCTCGACTTCTCAGTCGAGAAATTAAATAACTTTTGGCTTTTTTAAGGTTATTTAACTTTAAAAAGGTTATTTAATTTTAAAAAGTTATATAATTCAAAATTCTTTTAAAAAGTAAAAAAATGTTTTTCTTTATATAGGACATATAATTAAAGTAATAAACTAAAAAACTAATTATAAATAAGTTTCATTTTAAAGATTACCTGAATTTTGTCAATGATTTAATGTAATCCTAAGTATGTCTTATATTTACTTCATAACTTAGTTGAAATAATATGATTTTTAAAACTAGTCATCATTTTGTATTTATTATTGAATTATAACCATTTTTAAAAAGGTTATAATTTTATAAGACGCTCCGTGTGTCGTTGAGTGTCACAGTTACTGGAGTGAAACTTAATTTGATCTATACTAACATAGGAAAAAAAAAATTTTTTTTAAAAAATAAGATAAAGTTTTATTGAATATTTTAACCCTAAAAGAAATGTTCAAACAAACATATTGTTTATATATTGCATATGTTTATATATTTTTTTTTTTTTTTTTTTCAGTTTACAATTATTAATGGTAATATAACAATATAACAATATATAAACTTGGTATCTGAAAGAAGATCCAAATGATCTTGTCGCCAGAACCATATAAAAGATATAATACGTGTATATATAATAAAATAAAATATAATTGATCAAATAACTAATAACAAAGTAGAAGAAACAAAAACTGAAAATAATTTTACAAATTATCCCGAGTAAAAAAAAAGAATTTTACATTTCAAAAATATTTATATATATTGCCAGTAGAAAGAATATAGTTTTTTAATTTAGTTTTAAAAACGGAAAACGAAATCGACAAATCAAAATTTGGAACAACAATTTTGTTCCATAAATACGGTGCTCTATAGTTTATGCAAAATTGATTAAACTTTGTTTGACAAAAGGGTTCAATTAATAAATTATTATTTCGTAAAGCATATTTGTTTATAGCTTTATAAGTAAAAAGATCTTTGAAATTTGACAATGGTTGTTCACTTTTACAACGAAACATAAAACATAAAATATTATAGACATTGAGTTCGTAAACGTTAAGTGCTTTAACGTTTTTAAATAAAATATTTGAATGAGAAAAACGATTTTCGAAACATATTAAACGCATTGCGTGTTTCTGACGATGATAAAGACTTCGTAACTTACTTTTAGAGGTACTTCCCCAAACAATATTTGCATAATTTATATAGCTATGAATAAACGAGTAGTAAAGTTGAATTAAATTTTGTTTACTTAGATAGTATCTGACTTTATATGTTACATATTGTGATAAATTTAATATAAAATTATGAAAAAAATCCTAATGGTCTACTCGCATGCGTTGATAAAATTTCGTTGATAAAACTATAAAGTATATATATATATATATTACAGTATAGTGTATCTACATAAAATACACTATGTACACATTTTGCATGGGGTGATAATTCATTTTAATGCTATTGTAAAAGAGTCTCAGATAGATAATTTTATTTAAGATTAAAAAAACTTTTATGCATGTCTTTGCTTTCCAAATGCTTTTAAATTATTGATGTAAAAAGACCTCTAAATTTGCTCCAAACAATAATGATGAATCAAATCAAATTTATCTTTAATAAAGATCTCACCCCTATGTAAGGGAGACGAAATAAAACTGAAGTTACAGCCACACAGTTAAAGCTGCGTTTCCCTATAATAGAAAAAAGGTGCAACAACAGTCAAAAATAAATACATACATGAATTACTAGGCTGTCAGCAAAAGTACTTTTTGGAATACTTTCAGAAAAAGGGGTTTTCACCACGCGCAGGAAGGGGAAATGATGTCTAATATAAAGAGCACATGAAATCTATACGTGTGCATTAAATAGCAGTAATTAGGCGCTGCTGCGAAATAAAATTATAAGGGTGTCCCGCTTCTCCCGGGTCCCACTTCTCCCCACTCTCCCCTATTTACCAAGATGAGCAAAATGTTTGGATTTAAAATGTCTTGGAAACTGTTGGTATTATTTATTGCAATTTTTCGAATTTTTGTCTAATTTTTTACATCGATACATTTAACAATGTTTTAAGAAAAAAGACACATGATAACCTTTCAAAAATAATCACGAGTTTCTCTGATTGCATTTCACTATTCTGTAGAATAAACACAAATTTGATTTGAAACTTTATTTAAAGACTTTTTTTTATTAATTATTTTTTCATTTTATATTTAGAAGAAGTTGAGTTGCCACATATTGAAGATTGGACATTTGAACCTGAGGACTATTTTAAAAAAACTAAAATCAGAAAAAAACTTCCCAAAGATAGTGAAGATTCAGAAAGCACAGAGTACGAATCTATAAAATCTGGAGATGAAGAGCATGTAAAAGATGATTTGGCTCGCAAAAAAGTTTATAAACCACTAGTATTCAATTTTGCAAATCAGGATACATTTGAAATATTCGAGGATTACATTGATGAGTACGACAATAACTTTGTAAGTTGTAAAAAAATTAATATGTTTTTATATTTCAGACAAACACGTTAACTTAAATTTGTATAGTTGTCACCACGGTGATTTTTTATCCATAATTTTTGTTTATTAATACACAATAAGTATATCTTATTAAGGACATATTTTTACAACTATTGTACCAAAACATGTGTTATCAACGTTTTTATGTATTTTTTTTATACTTTGTTTTTATTGTTAATTGAAAGGTTTGTCCGTTTCAAAAGAATTTTTATGGTTCATATAGCCTTACAGCAACAAAACTCAGCCATAGAATCATCACGTGAATTGTTACAAAATTTTACTTTTAGTTTACAGCTAACTAGGTTAAGCAAAAAAATGTTTTATTACGACTCACGTAATGATTTTTGATGAAAACGGTGTAGAATAGCCCCTGCTAATATATACTACTCTCTTATAAAAAATGTAATAAAAGCTATATTTTTAATCCTAGTCGCTGGTTAATCTTGTACTTCTTATTGGGCGCTTGAGATGATCAAGATGTGTAAAAAATGCGTTAACACGTGTTTTAAACATCTTATACGCGTCTGGTTAACTTTGTACTTATTTTCATTTTACTACAGTATTTATCAAATTACAAAAGTTAGAAATTAAAACAATGATGAGGCTTCACCCCAAATTTCTGTTCATTTTGCTCAAAAGAGAAATTGTAAACGTATGTTTATCAGTTTTTGCTGGAAACACTGGAGACAAGAACATAAAGAAGGTGTCTCAAAATATTTCCCTTTCCAGAAATACAGTTGTAATAATTAAAAAGCCTCTGATGTATTAAGACAAATCATTCTTGCTTCCTCGCTTTCAAAATATTTTTGAATAGCTATTGATGAAAGTTGTAATTTAACTGATTATGCTTTATTATCAGTTTATATAAAATGCGTAAATGATAACTTTGATGTTGTTTAAGAACTTCTTGGCCTCTGTCAGCTTCAAACCTCGACAACTGAGTCTGATATTTTTAAAACATTAAAAACATGTGTTAAAAATCAAAACACTAGTGATCACAATTTGTATCATGTGTATGTACAAAAACATGTGTACAAAATATGAGCAAGAGAACTTCATAGACGAATATTTTGTTCATTTTTAAAAAAATGAAACAAATGAATACGGAGAACTCTTATTAAATTGTTCTGTTTGATGGTTATTAAAAGGCAAAATTTTAATCAGGTTTTTTGAATTAAAAATGAAGTGTTACAATTTTTGGAAGCAAAAAACAAATTACCATAAGAGTGCGGTTTTTTTAAAAACAAAGACTGGTTATCTGACCTTGCATTTTAAGTGGATATTAACCTAAATTACAGATTACCTAAATATCTTAAACATAAACTTGCAAGGTGAAAACATTTTATTTCCAACATATTTTAACTAAATTAATACTTTTAAGGCCAATTTAAAATTATTTCAGGAAATTCGGCAAGTTAACAGTCTGTAAGTTAAAATTACTTACAGATTGTTTATCATAGAAAATTTTTTATTAATTTTCAACATTTGAAAATTATTATATTGAAAGTAAGATTACCACTGTTACGTTTAAAAAGTACAAAGCTGCCATTTTCAAACTTTAACAAGCATTTGAAACTCGCTTTGCAGATTTTAAAGCTGAAACTAAGAATATTTTGTTCTTTATCAATCCATTCACTATATTAGATAATGATATTTGCAGCTATACACCAATATTGCAATTGAAAATCACAGAAATTCAAAATCAATGATTTGAATGTCTGATGATTTAAAATCAAATTTCAAGTACTGTGTATATTGCCTATTTCTTCCAGATTTGAAATCGTTCTGGAAATTTATTTCAAAAAAATGACTTTCCTGAACTTAATAATATGGCACTCTGATTTTCCTGTAAATTTTGGCTCAACTACGTTTGTAAAAAAACATTTTCTACAATGAATTATATAAAAGGCAACCATCAACAACCATTTTGGTAATCTGATACTTCTACATACCTAAAAAATCAATTCAGACATTGAAAAAATATTTTCAGACGGTCAGGTTCAACACAACTGATAATTATATTGCTTTGATACAAATGATTATAATAACTAACAATCACATATATTTTTGTAGAAATAAATATTTTTTGCCCCCAAAATTGTTTTTTAACATTTTTTTGCCGGTTTCTTAAAAAGTATGCCCCCCCCCCCCCCCATTCTAGTACAATACAATAAAAACAGCTTTTGTTTTTATTTTCTTGTATTTTTATAGGTATATATTAGATTTTAGACACTTTGAGTTGTTTTATTTTGGTTCATAGTCTTGACTTTTGTCTTATTTAGGAAGAAGATTTTTACACGCGATATTTATCATCAGCTTCATCCTCTACTCGTGAGAGTGATATTTGTAACGAATCCTGTGAAAATGAAAATCCAAAGTTCACTCTAATACCAGTTAAACCAAGATTAGAAAAGAGAAAAAAATCTTTACGAAAAAAAAACGATGTCGATGTAAGATCTGCAAACAATTTTAAAAAAGATACGAAGTTGGACATTGATTATAAAAGAAATATCGAGTTGTTGCAGAAACTTTTTCCGTTTACACAAACGCCTCTTGTTTATGAAATAAATTTGCAGAGGTATGAAAATGTACAATTTCCACAACACTATGAAAGAAAAAAAAATATTTTAGTTAAAGAAAAACCTCAACATGAAAAAACCTCCATTATTCAAACGGGAAAAAAAAAGGAAAAAAAGTTACACTTTTATTATTCTCGAAAGAAAAGAAACTTAATCTATAATCGGTTGCACAATGAGAACAACGCTGAAGAGACAGATTCTGGACCTGATAACGAAATCCCATCTTATAAAGCTAAAATATCATACACTCGGGCAAGAAACAAAACAACTGGCACTATCATAGATATCATATTGAATCAGACATTTGGAGCAATCGACAAAATTGAATTAGCAAAAGAACGAAAACGAGTGCCATACTTTGCTAAGTATTTAATACAAGAAGTATGTTATAAATTAGTTAATGATCTTGAAAACAAACAAAAAACAGAAGCTGTTAAATTTAACCTTGACATTTTATTTGACCGTTGGGAGTATGAAATATATAAAAAAAAAAAAATCATAATTAACGAGCGCTTAAATGAAATTTCAGAGCTTATTGTCACGAGCGAAATCAATAACGCTGTATCATTTTTACATTATGAGGATTATGTTTGCGCCTGCCTTGTGCGAGATGCTTTTGCGGAATCACTTCATTTTTTAAAAGTCCCGACAAAAAAAAATAAACAAAAACTAAATAGTATCTTTTTTCAATATCATTTGCCGAAATATGATTTTGAAAAAAAAGGATCTGCAAATTTGCATATACGAAAAAGACGACTCCAACGTGAACAAAAAGCTCCTGTTAAGGTAGCAAATAATAGATACGAACCTAAAAAATCCAGAAAAAAATCAAGTCGACTTAAGTTTATGAAAAATATCGTTGATGATATAATTAATGGAGAAGAATTTTTAGATAAAATTTTACAAAGCCACAATAATAAAATCATATTTCCAGTTAACAAGATAAATAAAGCATCTACTTCAGATTACAGCTTTAATCAAAGTCTAGTTGAAAATGAAGTTTGTATTCTAGATGAATATGATAACCAAGATGATCGAGAAAAAGTTGAACCAGTTACAATAAAAACAAGTGAAGTAGCAGAAAAATTTAGACGTGTAAAGGTCAGATTAAGTGTGCTTGACATATGGCAAAGGGAAAATGTAAAGTTAAAGACAATGGAAAGAAGAAAAAGTTTGTTGTTTAATAAAGTCAACTACGAAGAAGAGCAAACCTTTGATAACGATGAAATAGATGTCAATATACTTTATGAAATAGAAAAAAACGAGGAGAAAACAGTGGAATTACTAGATCCAGATATAATTGATGAATCTGATTTAATAGAAAGCAAACTAGAGCTTCCCCCTATTGAAGAAGAAGTAAAATTGGCTTTAAAAACAAGTTTGTTACCTACAGTTATAAATCCAGTGAAACAACGATTGAAGTGCGTTATAGAAAATCAAGTAGATCCAAAACTTGAATTAAATAACCTCGAAAAAAACTTTAATAACGATGAAAACGATGTTAAAGAAATACAACCTGATACCACAGTAAAACCTATAGAGAAAAATAGAAAAGTAAGTATTGAATCTGGCTTTTTATCTTACAATGAAGATAACCATAGCAACAACGAATTCAATAGTTTTTTAGAACATTGTGATAGTGAGAACGAGAAAAATTTACAGGATATTTTTAAACAGATTCCTGTATTCGATCGTGATTTTTATTTAAACCAGTGGATTGTTCACGGTGTAAATCTTACTAACTTATCATCTGAACTAACTAAGAATATTAAATCTACTCGTAACCAATTTTCTCGCAAAGTTTACCATAAACGACCAGTATCAGCAGAAAGTGAAAGTAATATTTTTGAAATTACTCCAGTTAATCAAACTCTAAATCAAAAACCTCATGTTCCAGGACGTTTAAACTCGGCAAATTCGAATCGATCTGGAGTTTCAAGCAAATGCTATTCCGGTCGTTCAACAAGCATGAGCGCAGTTGCATATAATATGAGTGATAGCGAAGAAACAACTAACAGCGCTCCACAATTAAATAAGAAACAAATTAACACTAAAATTGAGTTTTTTGTTCCTGAAAAAATATATGAGGAAAAAAAAGAAAACAATGCTGCTGCATGGGATTTCTACCTCAAAAGAAAGCAAGATAAACGACATTTGGAACAATACGAATCTATATTAAAAGGAGTAAATATTGAAGGTTCTGAACTTTATGTAAACGAAAAGCTGTTATTGCTTAATGAAGAAAAAGAAGAAATACTTAAAAACTTTAGCAAAACGTTACTAAGTTATTCAAATAAAAATGATGACGAAGTAGAGGTTAAGCTTTTGCGCCCTTCGGAAACATTTTTGCGCCCTTTGGAAAGTAATGATAACCAGTTTGAAGGCGAAATAAAACACAATGAAAGTGATGTGGAAATTGAACGAATAATGACGCCGTGGAAACCACTTCGACATCGTCCACTAACTCCCGATTCAGTTGACTCAGATGAAGAAGTAAAAAAGATGAAAAATATCTATATTGAAACAATGAACAAAAAGAAGGCGTTTGACGAAGATAAACAAAGCAAAGCCTCGTTTTTGGAGTTAAAAAGAAAGCAATTAGATATTGCAAAAAGTGCATGGAAAAAACATTCAAATGAAAGTATAAATTTTTTTTTCTGATATTTAATATATTTAGTCTCTATCTTAAATATTGTAATAAACTTTATAAATAGGATTTACAAAAACGTATTATTTATATTTAGGTATTTTTAACTACCTATTCAAATATTTTTTTGATAGAACTCAGATAACTATATTTTTAATATGATTATTTGTCTTATAATTATTATATAAATATAACTTAAAAAATATAACTTAATAAGCCTAAAGCTTATTATAAGACTTATAATATGAATAGATCATCTAATTCTATTGTTGATACTATGTAAAGAATCACCAAAAGTTATATAATAAAGTAATAATCTTAAATTATATGTTGGAAAAATAAATAATTTTATTAATAAATAAATATTTTACCTTCTAATATTTTTAGGTCATATAAAAGAAGCTCTGGAAGCAAATCGCGAGTTATTTTTAAAGCTAGAAATAAACCTTAAAAACAATTCACCCAAAAGACTAGAACCTATTAAACGCTTTTCTATTGCCGAACCTGAAGGAATATCGAAAAGATTAATTGAAAAACAAAAAGAAAAAAATATAAATGAACACGTCACTCTTTTAAACAAAAGAGCAAAATCAACTCCAAAATCTTTTTCGAATTTAAACTATAAAAGTGATTGTTTGTTTCCTTGCATTCCAAAAGTAACAAGTGTTGTTGGAAGTTCAGAAGATCATAGAAAGAAAAAAATCGCAGTAAGAAATACACAAAGTTCTCTTAGCGAAACAAAACCTAAAAGTACTCTCAGCTTTACAAAATCAAAAAGCTCACTTAACACAATTGATGCAAAAAATAAAACGTTGTTTAAAAATGGATCAAAAACATTGCGATAGTTAATATGTTCAATCCACTGAATTAATAAAATCCACTGGCTAAATCTACACTACTCTTGTACCTAACGTTAAATTTACTATTATAATGAAAATTGAAAATCGGATATGAAATGTGAATTATGTTTTGTATAATATTGCTTAAAATTTTGACATTGCACAACCACAATAAGTTTTGATACTGTACAGCCACAGTAAAGTTTGACATTATATAACCACAGTATATACAGCCACAGTAAAGTTTGACATTGTATAACCACAGTATATGCAGCCACAGTAAAGTTTGACATTGTATAACCACAGTATATACAGCCACAGTAAAGTTTGACATTGTATAACCACAGTATATACAGTCACAGTAAAGTTTGACATTGTATAACCACAGTATATACAGCCACAGTAAAGTTTGACATTGTATAACCACAGTAATGTTGGACATTGTACAATAACGGTAAGGTTTGACATTGTATAACCTTAGTGAGTATAACTACAATAAGGTTTCAAACCTTATGTACTATAGTAATATATAATTATATATATTGTATTATATAATATAATATATAATTTAATATATAATTTGTTATGAAAATATAAATATTTTTTTATAAGTTAAGCATTTTATTCAAGAATCAAAATTTTCATTAATTTACTAATAAACATAGCTGGTTTGAAAACTCCGTAAACACATTAATTTACTTTTAAACATAGCTAATTTGGAAACTCCGTAAAAACTGTATTCAAAGCCTTCAACATAATTAAGTGTGAACATTTACAATATAAAAAAGCTGAAAAACATTTATAAAATACAGTAAATTATTGGTTGTTTGAACTGCTACTTATTCGAATTCCCGCTTATTTGAAGCAATTTTGATTCCCAAATAATTTTCTGAACAAGTTCATGCAAGTATCAATCATATTTGAATCTGCAGTTATTCAAAATTTTCTTTATTTGAAGCGATTTTTGCTCCCCTTAACAAACGTCCTGACAGTTATTCAAAGTATTTCTTCAGCTCAACCACTGCATTGCATTTCTAAATTACGCTTAATAAACAACTTTATTAAGCGTAATCAAAATATATGTATATACAGAGCTACCAAGAGCTTTCATGACCTCCGGGGCATAGCAGCAATTAGGCGCCTCTATTATTATGCATATTATTCAAATAAATATAAGTTAAATGCATGTTATACAAGTTAATGACCGTGTTTTTCTTTCTAATACTATTATTTTTCATCCATATTCTTATTAAACGCATCTAAATTAAATAACGTTTATGCATCACATTTAAACATTTATAAAACACATTTAAACACTTATGCAATACATTTTACTTATTCATCTCAATTAAGTCTCAATGAACACTTTTTTTTTCTTCCATATATATATATATATTTGCCGTTAGTTAAAATAACAAAAAGAAATTACTATTAAATAAAAAACCTCGCAGGAGCAATCAATTATATATATATATATATATATATATATATATATATATATATATATATATATATATATATATATATATATATATATATATATATATATATATATATATATATATATATATATATATATATATATTCATTTAATTAGTTTTCTCTATTAATCATTAACAGTAAATGAATATGGTGAAAACGAACAAGAATCTGGAGAAACCGAGTCTCCTATAGAGCACGACGCATTTTCTGGTAATTTTATTACCTATTAAGCATTTTTATTTTATGGTTATAGCATTACTTGGCGCTGCATCAATTTAGGCGTTATAAGTTGAATGTCAATTTAATGAAAAAATATTTAGCAAACTATAATGTCAGGTTGATAAGAATCCTGCTGAAAACAAAATATAGCCCACATCATCTAGAAAGATTTTGTGAATTTTTTAATAAAACATCCTGCATAAGGATATTCATAATGGTGCATATACAGAGTGTACACAATGGCATGTGTAGTATATAAATATTTATAGTAAAAGCATTGATTTATACAATACTAAATGTAATTTTGATAAATGATTAGGTTTCATAAAAAAAATGTTTGATTTGTCAACATAAAATAGTTAGTCTTAATTGAAATCTTTACATAAAAAAAAAAAAAGCAAACAGATCAAAGATTTAAAAGTTTTATTGATTAATAATAATGTATGTGAATAAATCATGTTCTTATTTTAATATTGAATGTTTGTATTTTTAACTATTTAGACCCTCATACTTGAACGTGTGTTTTATTAAGTTACGACGTTTTTGATTATTTTGTTTATGTTTTTGAGTACGAACTGAGAGGTCTGTTTACTAAAAACACCCAAGGATCTCTGTTTCTTATTGATAAAAAGAAGCATGTATTATGTGCTTGTATTATGTATAATTTCCAACCCATCCTGATAAAGATGCAAGCTTCTTGAAATAGTTTTTTAAGTTTTAAGCAAATTTCTTCCACAAACTTTTTGATGTATTTTCTAATATTAGGCGATAGCTTCATTCCAAAACAGTTCTTAGAGGTTAAAAAAAAAGTTAAAAAGTTATTAGAGGTTAAAAAAATTATTATCATTACGTTTTTAAACAAATGTTGCAATTATTATCTGAAATTGATAAAAAATAGCTTCCTATTCTAAATTTCATCACAATTTCAATGAATTGATAATCTGTGAAGGTATTGCTACCTGTTCTAAACTTTCTCAATGTTTTAATGCAAGGTTTAATATTTATATAATGTGACATGTTTAAGTTCATCCAAACAAGACAGAACTTTAAAACAATTAGGTCCATCATACCCATTACTATTTTACTTAATGTTATTTCATATATATCTGGTTTCTATTTTACTCAACAAGTAATTTTTAGTAAACTTTTCATATCACTGACATGTAGATTCTTCTTTTGTTTCTTCACAATAGCAGCAAGCTAACTTTCCACCAAAAAATATTTTTAATGAATTTTATTTGTATTTAATATACTTATTCATAAAATTAAATTTTGGTAAATTCAAATAAAATAATTTACGGTAATTAACTTGAGATCTGCTGCCGCATAAAACCTAAGTTTATTTAATTTTATCATCTGAAATAATATTCATAAATTGTAGTTGCTATCAACTCCGCGTGCTATGTTTTTTGCAAAGTTTTTACTTTTTTGAAGCCACTTTGCTTAAAGTTTTTATAGTCTCCTGAATACTCAAAATTACAAATGTTTATCAATATTTATTAAACCCCATGACTACCATTGATTGCCACCCTAATGATGCAACAAATTTTGACAGATCTAGATTTTTATGGCTCCGTGTATATAATTTAAGTCTGCAAATTGGACACTACAATAATGATCTATCGACAACATTTATTCTTCCCTTCTTTTTTTTAAACAAACTTTTTTCCATTTTTAATCTAATTTTACTATTACTCAAATCAATTAATAGAATATTTAACATTACAAACAAGTTAAGTGGATATATATCAAACTTAAAGATACATACACTCAAACTACAAATATCAAATTTCTTTAAATACAAATTTTTAACACAAGTGTTACAAATGCCTGACATTGCTTTGATTTAGAGGTTTTAAGTTGACCTAAAAGATACTCAAAATGTTTCAAAAGATAACAATTCTTTGATTGTGCATAAAATGTATTCCATTGAAACAAAATAAAGTGTTACTTTTTGGAATTTATACGTTTTTTTTAAATAATCACTATGCAGAAGAAATTTTAACTCAGTGACAAATCCTGCCTTTTTTGGTGTTTTAGATACTGACTTTAAAACATAGAGTAAACTCCAAAAATTTATATCTTTATACTTGTGTCAAAATAAGGACGTTTTGTAAAAATATTGTAACGATTGGAGCTTGGGAACAAAAAAGACCAATAAAATTTTCCTCCTCCTCTTAAGGTGAGAGCAATAACTTCATAAACTTTTTATTTACAATAGTGATATATATATAATACATTATATTTACAATAGTGCAGCATTTTTTACTTTATATTAAATTATTCACATCCTCATACTAGAATAGATTATGATTGTTTTGCGAAGCTTTTCTCCATAACATTTGCTCAGCTCCGAAGTTGCAAAACTTTTCATTGTCTTGCTCAAATTTTTGTGAAAAGTTTCACAGCTTTGCTAACTGAAAATTCCCAAGGATTTGTTTTTTCATTTAAAAAACTTTATGAGGAGCGACTTTATGATGTAAAATTTCCAACCTAGGCAAATCTTGTGTGTCGTGTATTCTATCAGATACTGATGCAAATTGCACATTCCTGCGATAAATTCCTGAGTATCTCTGCTGACATCAAGAGAAAGCTTCATTCCAAAACATCCTTCTGTCACTAACATGAACAAGTTAAAGATATTATGCTTATAAAAACTGATAAATATAGTATAAACCATTGATGAAAAAGATTTAAGTAATTGCATACCCTTTTTGAATTTCCTTAAAGTCTCAATACAAAGTATCATCAGGAGAGGAGTAATAGTTATAAGTTCATCTTTTTGAATAAATTTTGAATAGTCCTCAACTTTCCATTTTTGTCATCTTTTTCTCCTTGAAAATAACAGCAAACATACTTTCCCCCGCGTTAGTATTAAAAAAGACTATATTAAAATATTAAGTTTAATATTGATAAAAAAAAAGTAATCACATTTTTTTATCATGCAATTACACAAAATTAATTATTTTTAACTTACATAAATGCCCAGTAAATAATTAATGAGGTTCAGATCAGCTGCTACAGTGTATTTTAGCTTATTCAGCTTAAATAACTTAATAAACCTTTCCAAATTATTGTAATTTGCTTGTACTCCACATACAAGACCCAAAATAAGAACTGAATTGACCCCTGTATTTTTCATGTTTTTTTTTTCTCTGATTGTAGCTTTTCTGGGTTAATAATGTTCATTATGACTTTCGGAGAACCTTGATCCCCGTCAATACCAACTCTTGTAAAGCAATTGTAGGGATTAAGTTTTCTATTTTCACAAATTTTCTTTTTTAGTTCCCACGGTTCAGGAACAAATACAACATCTTTCTGAACTGTATCTAAAACCTTGCAGTTTCCATTGTTGTATGTTTGTTGAAAACTACATGAAACTACTTCATAAAATTGACTTTACTAGGATGATTTGTCCTTAATACTTTTTGGCGCATAAAGTTTGATATCTAGCAAAAAATACGATAATAATTTATAAATATATAAGCAATATAAATATATTCAAAATTAAGTTCATGTACATTACTGTTACCTCCACAATCCAAATCTTTATGTATTGTATAGTCATTATATAATCCATTTTTGACATGGTAAGGTCTATTTTCTTTTTTTATAGTAAGCAATGTATCTTAAGATATTTCTAAAATAGGTGTATGCACATATTCAGAGTAAAGAGTAGCATGAAAAGCTTAACCACCAACAAAAGATATATTTCCTATGACAAATGTTTCATTCACTAATGTTTGACTTCAATATAAACGTATTTTATAAAATTAGTAATAAGTATATATAGATAAAAAAATATATAAATGCTTATTTACCTGTTGCTACAATTAATTCGTTATTATCAGATGTATTATACATATCTTTTAGTACAGAAGGTAAAAAACTTGTTAGGAGGTTTTTGAAT